CTTTGCGCTTTCTCTATACGGTAGTGCGATTCAAATGGAATTAAACGCACTTTTCTCAGCCCCCGTCCGTGTGCTACCTCTTCCATTGCACGTTTACACGCAGACAACCGTGGCACACTCGCGAAAAGATCGCGCAGCACGCCGCCATTTAATTACGCCTTGAAAAGGTTGGTGGTAGGCAGACAGGTCGGCAGGTCTGTAGGTTGATACAGAGCGGTAGTAAAGGCCGAATGTATACTTACTTCCGTCCTTGCGGACTCTGGCCTCCGTACCTCCTGCTATGGGCTGCTGCTTTCGCCCAGTGCAAACATGGATATGAAAGGTTGAGCTTTTGCCCCTTTGGCAAAAGCCTTCCCCAGGACCTCCGATCCCCGGCTGTCTTTCCGTCTGACTGCGACTCCGGGATATGGCTGCGATAAAATTTGCTCTTCTCTCGTGACGTCGAGAGAGATTACAGTTATCCTGGCGAAGCCACACGGCCATCATGCAAATTGAAACTCCTCTTCTCTCTTCCTCTCTCGTTTCCTATTTCTGTCTCTTTCTCTCACTCTGTCTCGTTCTATCTTGTCACTCGGCTTGCTTCTTCTATCTCTTTGTAAATACGTAAATATCTTTGACGATTTTCTCTCCTTCAAAGCAGTTTCATTGTATTACCGTTTGTTTATTGTGACACGAGCGCCGAGTTGCAATTAATTTGTGCCTCGAGTGTCACCTGTCTCCCGTGTCCCTTTTGTGGTCGTTTGATGACTTGCCTTCAATTTTCGTACTTCTCTCTCTCTGGTTGCACTTGGTATCCCTGGCTAGTGGTTGGTTTGTTGCCGCTAATGTCTGAAAAGAGTGTACATCACGTATAGCCGTTTGTAAAATTCATCTCTGCACACTGCACATTTTTCATGGAAGGTTTTCTTTAAAAACTTCGTTTCCTGAAATTTTGATCAACTGAACGGTCTTTATTCATAGAAATTTGAAGGAGAATTCTCGGAACGTCTTTTTCGATCCGCTCCACTGAGCAGAGGCTTAGGCACAAAACCATTATCGATCCACATTCGTCGAAGCACAGGGACACGTATAAATTTTTACTACGCTCCGATACACATCCCGGCTCGCTCTTACGTCGGAGACGTGCAATAACGTAAGGTAGACGAGAGCAATCGAATAAGAAATATAATTTCAACGCACGCCAAGCGGAAGATATTCGACAATTGTGCTGCCCCGTTTCCAACAGATCCTTGCATTATGGGATTATCATTACGTGTGGCAAATATCTATTATAGAGCGTAGATGTTTCTGGCACGACATTCAGTAATATCGGCTAAGGCGATTACATTCGAGGCTACCTGTGTTTGGCTCTTCTTTGTCGAACGTTTTGACGGAACGATGTCAAAGAAACCTATGACGTTACGAGTACTATAATGATTCACGGCGTTTTGTGGCGTAATCTTTACTGCACCAGAAGAGACATAAAAACATCTATAAAACGAATATATTTGAAAAAAGTGAAAGGCATAAGTATCGAAGAATTTTTCTAGCCCTTAAAGGGGCTAATTTCGTTGGAACCTTTTTTTTTTTTTTTACGGCATCTGTCGGTCGAGGAGATGCTGACATCTAGACGCACAACGGGGTAGATCGCCTCGCTCGATCCACGGAAATAGGGGTGGAATTCGGTCGATAATGCAGTGAACGCACCCTTGCAAATACACGAACCCCTAGCGTTAGTAACAATCGGTAATACCTTATCTTCTCGAGGTTGTTTTCAATGTGACTCGTTCAACTTTCAGATGATTCAGCAGTCTCTAATCAGCCGTAGGTATCAGTAGAAATATTTCAATATTTTCTCTCGATCCTATCCAGGGAGATTATTTTATTTTTATCGTGCTTTCTTCGAATAATGAGGATTCCTTTCCTTGAAGTATTTAAAGAATCGAACTAGGTCAAGTGAAATGAAGTCATCCGGTAATCGATGCGAACTCCGAAAATCAGGTAGCGCGACAAAATTATTCATACAGCCCCGTCGCGGTGCAAATAGAACCTGATAATAACGTATTCGTTTTATTTTTCCGGCCATGGAATATTCGTACGTCAGAGCAGGAACTGTCACGATCGTATATATCGGAAACTGGTCCGAAGAGTTCACAGGTACCGGCAGAGTGCCTTCGTTGTGAAACGTGAAATGCATATGATATAAGCGTGAGAGCGTGAAGGATCGAGGAAACTGTTTGGGATAACTGTCCGCCAGACTTAATGGAAATCTAAGAATAAATTTATGTCGGCTGTCCACTCAAAATGCTAATGCAACTGCGAAATATTAGCGAGAAAAAGATAGAAAAAGAGAAGAGAGAGAAAGAGAGAGAAAGGAAGTAAGAAGAGAAAAGCTGCCTCGAAGTCAACGTGCTTGGTTACATTGAGCTTGAACTATTTAAAAGGCTCGACTGACGTGTTCGTAAATCTCGCATCATAATCATTCACGCGGCCGCCTGCCGTTGTTATCCGGCGATAAAAATAAATTGCTCTTCGTAGATGTTAATTATGTGCCTGCGTTTCTAATTAAGAGTTCGTTAAGCCAGGGATAATTAAAATTGATAAACTTCTATCACAATGGCTCTGCTAATTAACTCTTTCTGTGTTTTTACCTTTTTTTCTTTTATACGTTCTTTCCATTTACTTTTGTTACTTCTTTTAACACGTTTCTCCTCTATCTATGCGCCTCTGCTTTGCTCTTTCACGTTGAAGTAGGCAAAATCGTGTACAAATGGATAATTAAAAAGAACGTAAAAAGAAACAG